CAGTTTATCCTGGCTGCGGAATAAGCCAAAGAAAGAGAGATTTACTGGGTTGGACAAATAAGCTGTGGGGCAGATTCATGGTTGAGCCTGTGGCAGTTACCCCAGCTCCCAAGACGCAATCTAACAGATGCCACACGGGTATACTTTTATGACTCAAATGGAATAAGATGTCAAATTAAATGACAGTTTCATGCATAATGTTAATTGTTACATTTAATTATCTCTCAATAACGGTGAACAGAGGCAGGAACATTTTGAGATTCCATTTTCAATTTTCAGATCACAGCAAACGTCCACCTGGAAATTGAATCATGTGCTTGTATACCTTCAGAAACAGTTCTGTGTGGGACTGCAAGAATATAAATTGCAACAGTAGTCCGGCTGCAATTTCATAACTCAGTGCTTTCAGATTTTACTTTGATGAAAAGTGCCCGAGCTCTTTCGCAAAGAAACAAGATACCAAAGTGGAAGCAATCTCTAAAATCCCAACTACCCAGCTGGGTTCACACCTGTCCCTCACTTCAACATGCTCAAACCATTCACCTGATGCAGACCTGCACACTGCGCTCTCGCTGGGCTCGACTAAATAAAAAAATAAATAAAAAAAATACACCTAAGATATAAAACTATAAAAAGCTCCATAACTGCTTTTTACTAAGCAGAGGGTGTATATCTCTGTTTGTTTGCTTCTTTACCAACAACTATCAAAGTGCAAGTGGGCACTGTGGGTAACTGCATTATTTAGAAAGCTGAAAAGGAAGATATATTATTATATTCACCACTACATGAATAAATGATGAATAAAAAACTGCTATCTATGTGTTTAAGATTTTAAATCCTGATAGATCACAAAGTCTCTATAGAGTGCAAATACATTTATTAACTTACTAATTTTTATACACTTACATATTTTACCTCATTATACAAATGAAGACGCTGTCATTCCTTTTGTGTTAAGGTGTCGACTACTGCTTGATTGAGCCGAGGCTCTCAACAGAGACGACAGCATTCAGTCAGAATCTTGTACAGAGAAGTGAAACCCCACTACGGTTTTAAATAATACTGTTCCAAAGCACCATTTACATTTTAAATTACTGATAAATGCCTATGTTTACTTTAATGTTGTTTTAATTGGATATATTTTTATCTAGTCACTTCTTTATTTTTTGTGTTTTCGGTAATTTCAGGCCTTCATGTAAAAGCAGTGTCTGTTACCAGTTTGGTGCAAGAGTGACCAACCATAAGAACCTCAAGAGCTAAAATTAGGAAAAGTGACACCGGAGGGCATGGTTACCATGACAGCGAGCCAACCTGAGCCCACCGCTGCTGAGATACAACAACAACAAGCTAAATCAAACTTTATGTCCAACTGCAACTACATCTGAATGCTTGAATGTGATTATGTATGTGACTTGGTTAGTTTTTTCCCCCCTCAAGATTTATTACATTTTTATGACAACGCATCTATAAGATGCGTCTCTTTTAATTTCAAATTCCATCTAGATATTTAATAGATTCATGCTTCCTGGAAACCTATGAATGCACTTGTCTTCATAAAATAAGCGCCAAGCACCACATGCACCTTTCCCATATGTTGTCTCCATGGGCAACCAAGCAGTCAAGCTGTTGAAAATCCTGAGATTTCCTCCTCTTCGACTTCCTCTTTATCCACGGTGATGCAAGGAAAGGTATGTTTGGATTATGTGCCGTTCGACAAACACAGGCACCACATCTGTGTTTATAGGAGGGGTGGCTGCGTGTATGCACATGCATGAACCGCCGCGTGTGTAATCGCAGTTAATCAATAGAGGGCTGTATGCAGCAGCAAGCTTTCCCCCTTTGCCTTCTCGCCCATTCCAGTGGACCCGTTGAAGCTGGAAAACAGGGGGGGCTGCTGTACGACTGGGTGGCTAGGTAAATGTGGCACTCATCTAATATGCACTGCTGATTTACCTGCCAAAACACATCTTCATTAAAATTCAGATTAAATAAAGGCCAGTCTGGCCAGTGTGCCGTCATAAAACTATTTAATTATACCTTTTGGCTTTCGTCATAATCATAGGTGCAACAGCTAGCATGGCTTTCAAGAAAATACAATTAAATGCCCTAAGTAACGCTCATATATTTACAAATGTCTCAATAAAATAAAATTATATTTCTTTGACTGGTCTATTCAGTATATCATAGTCAATCATCTTATTATAAAGATAGAAAATAAAGATTGTTGTGTTTGTAGATTCCCTACTACTAATGGGATATGAGAAAAAACCTCTTGGCCAACAGTTCCTTTTTCAAAGAGAGTCCAAAGGGTCAGAAAAATGCTACAAAGAGTCTACTCATGTTTTATCCCTCACTTCACAAGCTACATGTCCTATGTGCTTATAGTGACAGAATCAATAGCTCACTTCATGCTTCCACCTTACAAGCTTTAAAAATCACAAAAAACCTAAGTGGACTGCCCATCGCCCTGTTGCCGCTGGTCTATCACACAGATTCATCCTGTATTTAATAATTTAGTGGTATAATAATTTCGCACGGTTGTGGCTGACTTAGTGCTCTGAATGACGACAATCCTGAACCAAAGAGGCCTAATGACACTTCTAATGCAGATGCGGTCAGATTGAACATGAGCTGGTCTTTAACATGCCAGCACTCCTGCGCAAGGTCCTGCGCCCATGTGTGAATAGCACAGTTAATACCCCAGTGAATTCCCAGTGAGCAGGTGGGCGTCACATGTCCGACCTCCTGCCTTCAGCACGAGAACAACGCTTTTCCACAAGTGACAATGCATCTCACTCCAAGCAGACCAGTGAAAAACAGCTCAGATAAAATATCCAAACGTTCGAATAATTTGGTTTACTTATGCCACGCAAAAGGTAAGTCGCTGGGTAAAACCAAAACAGAATCTTGCTCAAGGCCATCAGCACCCACTGAGAGCACTTTTCTTTCTCTGCAACACAAAGACTCTCATCAGACAGAGTTCATCCGTTCTGTTTCCATGTTCAAACTGGATTCTCACTTTTCTGCTTTTTTGAGAAACTATCGTGATACAGCTTCTCAACATTAGTCACAATTAAGCTGGAATGGCCTCCGCTGGGCTCTTCATGCTTCTGTTTCTCAAAGCCCTGCTGGTCATACGGCAGTAACACTTCATCTAGTGGATGATGAAGAACGAACAAGAAAAAAAAAAGAAGGAGAAGATTGGGTCAAGATAAATCTAATTTCCTCCAAAATACAGACGACCAGAATGGAAATTTACCAGTGTCACTTCATATCGAAATAATGTCGTAATCAGGCCAAAAATGAAATTACATTATTTCTACCTGCCCCACCTCACTGCTAAGAATCAATTGAAGATTGTGTGGGAAAAAAAGGAAAAAAACTGGCAGCCCAATATGAATATTTACACACTTCATAGAGCCCCATTTCCAGTAATGGCTACATCTCACTTAGAAACCCTTAGTACGAGAAGGGACATGTTATTCATAAGAGGTTAAGTAAGTTGACCTGCTCAGATGCCTACTAAAAAGGAAGACAGTCAATTAGACACATAGATCGGCACTGCAAGCATAACAGCTTCCTTCCTCACCAGACAGCCGCAGCAGACACGTCACAAAGGCAGTTTATTAAAGGAACCCTTAAAAAGACGAGCATAAGTATATTGAAAATATCTGTGTGTGCTGAGGTCCGTGATTTCACTCAATGAAAGGAACTGTCATGCTCTTGGGCTAATTAATGCAAAAATCGGGAACGACATGCAGCAATAGCAAAAATAAATAAATAAATCACAGGTAGTGAAGAGCTTCCATATATGTGAACACAGGTTATGGATACAAAACCACGAGTGTGAATATTTTCAATAAATGTAACCTTTGTGAAAACAGCAGTTTAATATGCATTTTTTTTATTCCTCGAGTGATCTGCAGTATACCTGCAGGGAACAATAATATTTGCTTCATAAAAGAGTCAGTGTAGGAATACTTTGCTGGGCATTTACACTCAAAGCCCTGACACAACTTTACAACTAACTTAGCAGCAGTAAATAAAAGATATTGGGCAGTCTCCAGCCTTCCATTTGATTCAGGATTCTCATGATCATAAACTATATCTGGTCTGTCACTGGGGAAACCCCCAGCACTGAGATCAGACACAATGGAATGATCCTTGTATGTCAATCAGCCATGTGTGCATGTGCACAGACGGTGCCCACAGTTTCAAGGACATCATAATTATTGCATATCACTTTACACAGACAGCTGCAAGAGATACAGGCACACCAGCACCCAGCGTTAAATCTGAAGAAGGCTCGCCAGTGGTGTATTAGTTCCAGTACTTTTTATCATCAGCCATTCCTGTAATGCTCAGCATCATCTACTGTTACAGCCAGCCGCTACTGCTGTGCACTGTGGATAAACGCAATCAAGCCTTGGTAATAAGAAGCACAACAGCAGCAGGTGGAAATGTGCCTCTCGCTACACTGCCCACCTTCTAATATTTTTCAGGCGTTGCTGTGACCTCTGAAGCCACCTTCACAAGCACCACTTTGATTATTGATGTTGAAGGTGAGGCCCTGACTTTGGACCAGGACACATAAACAGGTGCTTTTTTTCTTAGCCTAGAGAAAGAAAGAAAAAGCTCTGGCTAATTTATAAGACATGCTCTCACTCTCTCTGTGAGAGTGTTACTTGTTGTAGTAGATCAGGTTCTACCGATCACAGCAAACAAAGGAGAGCAATGTGTCAAAGCCAGAAGAGCGTTTGTTTCATGAAAACATCTGAGCTACAACTATGTGACTGTTTAGAGACTGTATGGCATTAAAATCTTACTTTTCCTACCCATCCTACAGGAGCTCGCTATTCTAGGTGTTAACTTTATAGCAGTGTTACTTTAGTTAATGATTAAAACAGTTTTCATAAAACGATTGTTAAATGTTTGTTTCCGGTACTCCTCTTAGAAAACTTGCATGAAACGAACAGACAGGTTTCTCTTAAAAAATCTACCTTTTCCGTAGTTGAAGTGTAGTTTGATAGTCTTGCCCTGGTTGATGTGCAGGTAAGTGAACCAAACCGCCGAGGTGAGCAGTACCAGCAGCAGCAGGAGCTTGAACTGCTTCCGGATCTTCTTCACGGGGAAGCGCAGCATCCTCGCTGAAACATCCTCCGGTAGGCGCCCGGTAGATGGTTAAAACGAGTCCAGAAGGCTGCTGACTGTTCGGGCGCTGCTGTGTTGTGTTTCTGGGCTGTTCGCGCCTCTGCTGAAGGACTACCTCTCCCAGTTACAGCGACGGCATCCCTGCGAGTGTTAACTACAGCCCCAATGCGCGTCTCGTCCTCCCACATCCACGGGGTGCCAGCAGCGCCAAACTCGTTGTATCCTCAGATCTGGTAGCAAACACCTCCGTGGCAGTCATCGTTTATGAATGCAGTCCGTTGTCTCCCCTCCCCTACACGAAAACCGCGGGTTCAGGCTTCCCTGCTGGAGTTTTACAGGCGTCCGAGGGGAAGCGGAGGAAAAAGGGACTGCGGATCAAAAGCCGCTGAGTTCTGCGACCGTGGGAATAAAATAGCAGTCCGACGATAATCTACGCAAATCCCCTAAAGCTCAAGCCCATGCTGACACCACGACGGTTTTATCGGCTACTCGAGGATCATCCACGACCACGGCTTTAGCGCAAAGTATCAAAGAGTAATAGGAGAAGTGTAGTTTCCGAGAGGAGATGTGGTCGCACTTAGCATTTCTGCAGGTGGGTCATTTAATCTTTTTACCGCCGAGCACAAATGAAGTGAAGTGGCCGTCAGTGAAACGCGGGCTACTGCCAGAGAAACCTCGAGGTAACTGGACTAGGAAGGGGGAAAGGTCAGGGTGGCAATCGGCCAAATGTCACAACCCTCCGCGCTCCATCTATTGTTAAACACAGCGCACACAGAGAGCCTGGCTTCCAATCGATGGCAGCGCGTTCAGCTGGAGCGCGTTTTTATTGAAGTCCGGGGAGAGGAGGGGCGATCAGCTGTCATCCTCGTACTCGGGTGGGTTTAAAGCCCAGCGACGAGTAAATATTACGAGATGCAGATAAAAAACTGCTCCATGGCGGCGTAACAAAGGTGGGTTACTCAAAAGCGACTGTGCAATAATTTGAGGTCCGGGGAAGAGATGCCCATGTGCTCTGGTTTCTCCGTTGTCTTCACGGCAGGTGCATTTTTTTTTTTTACCTCATTCTCCCAAAGTAGGCTAGCAGCACTGTCCGACTGCACAAGAAAGACCACAAGCAAGCGAGCACCTCACCAGGATTAAACAAATAAGCACAATACGTGGCACTGCTGGGATGCACTACCTTGTGTTGTTTTTTCTCTCATGAGCTTTTTTTCCCATTAAAACGCCGCAACAGCATCATCAGACCTGCGTGTCAACGAGCACTGGGAGTAAAAAAAATAAATAAATAAAAACCAGCTGAGGTCCAGGAAGGGTGCCGCGGAGAGCCCAGCAACAAGCTGAGGAATAACCGGGAGAGAACATGGTTTTGTTTTGCTACAATGAAGGAGGGTATCTCCAGTCCCTGCACAGCTCAGTACGCCCATCAATTGAGCATCTTACGGTGCAGAGCAACCTAACGTGAGAGGACGAGGAATGACAAGTCCGTCGTCCAATTACAAATACGCCATGGGCTCAGAGGAGGCGGGTCTAATTGTTTGCCTTCGCCGTTGCTTGGCACTCACACGATCCAGCATCCAATAGCTGAACGACCATCCTGAAACTTGTTCACCGTTCCTGTTTTACCATATCCCCCCCGAATTCAAGGACCCATGTTAATTAGATGAGCAATGATTAGTCGCTTTTCAGGAAATGAAGAAATAACTCGCCAAATGAAACCGCACAAATGGCCTTTGGAAGATTAATTAAACCACTGTACACCGAAAAGGGGAGGAAAATCACATTTTATTCTAATTTTGGTGTTGGGTTTGTTAATTCCTTCAAAAATGTATTTCTAAATCAATTAGTTTCAGTAACACTCATTGCACGTTTTTTCTGATTAAAGCACACATTTTAATTCCTCGACTGGAGATAAATTTCATTTGTTTGCCAAACTAAATTGAAACAACGTCCCAGTTGTTTCAAAGAAAAATGATTTGGTCGGAATTACGATTTAAAACATTAATCGTAAGCCTAATACTTGAAGCGGAAGTGAGAAAATTACTAAATACTTCAGTCATGTCATTACGAGGCTGGAAACCTTGTGAGCCATCTTTACAAATTATCTAGACAGCCTTTGTGTGTGAGCTGTGTGGCGACACCCTGTAGACCAGTCATGACGCACGCTTGACTGCCCCCCAGTGGTCAACGATAAAAAGAAACTATAATGAACGCAACACTAATTTAACTAAGAAATAAAAATAAAAGAAACGATTGCATATGTGTGAAAAAGTTTCATGACTTGTTGTTGCTGTGAGGGGCTGCTAATTATTTATATCTTATGAGTCCATAGTGCATACTTTTGTGTGTCATATTTAATAGTTTAGCTACAGATTTTCTTAATAAAAGTGCTCAGAGGTTCTTTTATTACAGAAGGCCCCGCCCAATGAATTCAAATTTCAAGTTTTAATCATCGTGGTAGAATTTGTCAGCATAACCTGCTCCAGGGAGGCTTTGGTGTACATTTATTGGGCTGTCTGGAGTTGACTGCCCTTAAAAACTGTTGTGTTTGCATTGTAATGCATATTGTGATTTCCCTAAATCTTCCCTCTGACAAATACCCTCCATATGGTAACATTTAAAAAGACTCAAACTAAACCTGAAACTAATAAAAACTTAACTAAATCTAAACAGTTACACACAAAGCCACTCTGGAGAAACCTAAAGTGAACTAAAAACAAAATCCTGAAATGAAATAAAAGGGTAAGTAAAGAAAAATACAAAGTTTTTTAAATGTTTTCACAATAAACTAATTGGAAACAGGAATATTTTTGCAGTTAAGCTAAAAAATAGTTCAAAACAAAAACCATTACATGTACTTAAAAAGTGAGTATGAAAGGAAAATGTGCACAAAAAGAAGAAGAATTCTATAGCAGTCAAAACTAATTTTACACCGTGGGGCACATACAGCCCACACTGTTCTTAAGTGGGCCAAATGAGTACATTTCCCCTTTATGTCAGCATAAAGATGTTTAACTACACATTACGTCCCTTAAGTGTTTTAAAATAAGACACAGAAGTGCAACTTCAACAGCATGTTTCAGTTTTTCTGGATGATAAGTGTGTAAAATTACAGAAAAGTTCTGGTAGCTCGACGCCCATAAAATATACGTTCATGTTAATTCACACAAAAAGTTTTTTTTAAAACCAAAATTTCTGTAGGTGGTGAAAAACAGGAACATGTTTGCCATTTAATTGTTTATCTGTTACTTAATTCCTTTGGTTTAGCCTGAATGGCTACGGGATCTTTATCAGCAGGAAAAGTCGCAAAATGTTAAACGTCCAAATATTTATGTCCTCCTTCACATTTTTCAGCTTTCCAGTGGATCAGATTGGAGTCTTTGCTGGGCCGATTCTAGACCCTGGCCTTACCTTTGACACCCCCGTTCTATAGTTTTGGTCTTTGTCAGCTTGGTCAACACAACTGGCAGAGGAGGAGGCTTTGGTGTGCATACGTACTGGTGGCTGGGACTCAGCTGCCTTCAGAAAGATGTTTTTGTCTTTTAATACCTCAGAAATTTTTAAATACTGCTCTTGTGGGTTTTTTTTAAACAAATAAAAATGAAAACATCCATTAAATCAAAACTATAACTCATAAATGAAAAGAAAATCTAAACTGCAATAACAAAACTCTTTCTGGAAACTAAACCAAACTGAAAACGAAGCATCTTGCTGTCTTTTTGGATCCACTGCTAGACTTAAACACAATGCTGTGTTCATTATTTAGTGGCTCTATAGTGTAGTGAGTTACACATATACCTATCAAGCAAAAGATCCCCAGTTCATCTGTGGAAGTAGACACAAATCCCTTGGGGGTTGTATCAGAAAGGGTGTAAAAAAAAAAAATCTGGCAAATCAAATATGTGGAGCTACCTGCTGTGGCAAACCCTTGTGAATAAGGCAGCAGCTAAAAGTAGCTTCTTCTGCTATAGTGATTATTTCCTACGGTACATACCATGTTGAGTTAGCATGGCACTGGGATGGTGGGAATGATAAAAAGGTATAAAACCATCTCAGTCTGGCAGGTGGTATCAAAGAAAGGGTTGGGGGAGCTGTCGGTCTGCTCACACCCACACAGCCTGCAGAAGATGTCTAAGTGACAATATCTGTGGGTGTGAAAGAACAAGGCGTGTACACATGTGATATATGAAATAAAAGGAGCCTCGCATAAACCTCTAGAGAACAAGTCGCCCTTTTGAATGACAAAATACATTAAACATGTTGTTTATTCCCAGCAAGATGTAGTTCCAGTCAAACAGCTGCAGCTATAGTAAGACGCTGATGCCATTATGAATCTAGATAGAGATCAAAGACACAAAATCTGTCCTATCATATTATGACCTCAATTTAGTTTGTCCCGACTGTCCCTTCTGAATCAGTTGGATCACAAACCATAATCCCCTGTCTCTGTGGATTAATAATGTAATCTTCAGAGCAAACACTGAGCGTAAATGAAATGTTTAGGTATTCACCTGGGCCGTATTGAAATGAGTGAATGACCCCAGTCAGACATCATTCACGCCGAAACAAAAACTTCACAGCGTTCACCTTGCTTGGACTGTTGCAGTGAACATTGAAGGTATTTCATCACGCGCACACACGGGGTTTGAAAGTCACCCGAAGTATGTAATCAAGTAGTTTCCTGTGCTTCCTTTTTTTCCTTTTCCCATTTGGATGCAGGAGATTATCATAGGCCTTCTGAGGGACATTCTTCATTACATTTGATCATCTGACTCATTTTTGTGAGGCTTGAAGTAAAAACCGGTCTCTTTTGTGCTATAATCCCCTGTTTGTCTGTTCTTCCGTTCTTTCTTTTTCATCCAAGATCAGGCAAGCATCCAATGAGCAGCAAGGGACCTTCACTTTTTTAACACATATTACAAGTGAACAAATTGTCACACAGCACATGCAGCTTCATTTAGTGACGACTAACACAAAGAAGAAGGTGTAGACTGGCTTAGTAAACGGTTTAAAATAATCTGAAACATGCAGTCGGTCAGGTTTCACGTTTGTGATTTCTGTTTTGAATTTAACTTGCAGTGATTTTACTTCTGCAGGAACATTTGGCACCCAGTCCCACCCTGCAGGGATCTCCATGAATCCTGGAGGCAGATGAGCTGGTGTGCAGTGCAATGATATGGACAGAGAGGGTATGTTCAAGGTGGGGACAGATAGAGGTAGGTATGCTGCTGTTTTGTACGCTATTGCAGAAACCATGCCCATGGGGAAGAGTCAAGGCCCAGTAGGCTGTGAGGCACTAATTTAGCACTGAAGTTAGAGAAAACTGAACCACAGGGTACAACATCACCAGGAGCTTGGTATGCAGAGGGCATTATCTCAGAATATGATGATGTTTGCAACTTGAACAAAGAAAACGTGACGCAGACGAGCAAATGAGGAGAAACCAGCCTCTTTGTCAAGGTGCCATAGTTTTAATCAGCAATTCTACTAAACCAGGAACTGCAGCTTTTTAGGAATTTCTTTCCTCGCACTCACCCAACATCTGCTTGTCTATCTTTGACTGTCTCTGCACATCTGTCGGCCTGCCTGTCTGTCCACCCGTCCTTCAACCTTCATCTCCTTCAGTCTCTCACAAACACCCCGCCTTGTTGTCCTCCAACCTTCGTTTTTTCCTGGGCAGCACAGCAGCCCACAGGCTTTGATGAGAGGTCTAAGCTAAAATGTCACAGGGATTAACAGGTTTTGCCTCCTGCATCCCTCCGGATCAGTTCTGGCTGCCCTCTGTGCCTCAGCTTCTTCCCCCCCAAAACAGATGCGGATTGGCATTTCTTTCTGCTCCTCTGTGTCCTATTGAATTTATTTCCAGAGAGGGAGGTGGAGGGAATAACATTCTTCCATGTTTATAGATGAGTAAAAGAGGAAACAGGGTATGTGGAGAGGTCAAGTGAAAGGATGAGGAGGAAACAGGAGATCAAAATCCTTTGAGCAAAATATTTGAGTGAAAATTTGTTTTCTATATTTCAGTTCAGCTTTGATTATTCACTTATTTATATCATTTTGATAAATATTGAATCTTCCTTTACAACAGATGCACAGAAA